TTTTCCTCACAACTCTTAAAATATGTATTTTAAAACAAAAGACACCTCTTGATAAGAGCATCCGCAACGGGAATCTTTAGGTATGAGTCCTTAAGGAAAAAATAATTAAATAACCGATAGACCCCACAAAAAGTTAAGGATTCAATCCTTAAAATCCCTAAATAAAGACTGTTTCTTTGTGAATCCTTACACTATTTGCAGGTCTCCAGGACACGTGGCAGCCCGTGAATGGTCATCTTTTTTTTTCTTTAAAAAAAAAATCCGAAATATCCTTACCAAATCCGAAATACCTTTTTTCTCAAGGACTCCTATGAGTCTCACCGTTGTGGATGCTCTAATATATCAATATACCTTTTTAGATTACTATAAATAGAACATTTTACCGATGCAATTTTTTTATAGAAAAGTTGTGTGCTTTTTTCTAATATAGGTATTATTCTTAGTACTCTTGAATATAATGTTTAATACATTATATAGATCTAAACAATCTTTAAATATTTAATGGGATGTCTGCAAGAATAAATTAATAGGATGCGAACATGTCGGGACGGAAAAGATGCGAACGTGTCGGGACCGAAAGGGTGCGAACGTGTCAGGACCGAAAGGGTGCGAACATATCGGGACCAAAAAGATGTGAACATGTCAGGACCGAAAGGGTGCGAACGTGTCGGCCACAAAGAAAATGAAAAAAAGTTTGAAGATGATTATGTTACTTAATATTTTAAACAAAATACATAAAAATTAAATTCAAGCACAAATTATACTCTGTAATTTTATACGTATATAAGATTGTTGTTTAAAGTTTTATCTAAATCAAAATAAATAAATTTATTAAATGATTTGAAATGATTGATCAATTAATATAAACTAAATGATTTTAATATATATAAATTAAACATCTTCTCTCCCGCGCGTTTATGCGCAGGGTGGTTTCCTAGTATATGATAAAAATTGAAATAAATAAAAAAATTTAGATTGAAATAATTTGATTAAATCCAAGTAATAGTAATTTTCAAAAATAGTTTAAGAGAAGAATATAAGTATATCAGAATAATTTTTTTTAATTAAAATTTTAATGGATGTAGTTAATCAAAGTCACAAATACTATGACTTCTAGTCATACAATTTCACATAAACATGAAAATGTAAGACATTAAGAAATGAGGAATTACTCAAAAGGACTCAAATTTATCTTAAAATGACTAGAATGACTCATATTAAAATTTAAATACTAGACCCAATTAAGATGCAGATAAATTGACAAAAAAACCCTTCTAATTTGCCAAAAAAAAAAAAACATAATTTAAAAAAAAAATATATATAAACATAAACTAAAAAAGGGAGGAAGGGTTCTTAATTTT